GAGGGCAGAAATGAGCAAAAAAGGCTGTTTTTGCCCCCCCCCAGCAGCACTCTATAAGCCTCCATAAGGCTATGCATGCAATTTTTTTGACAAAAACGGGCCATTTTTGCTTTTGTTTTTGGTCCCCCCACCCCACCCTGCCAGGAGCACTCTGCAAGCCCTCCCCCCCAAGGCTATTCATGCCTTTTTTTTAAAAAAATGGCCCGTTTTTGTGAAAAATGGGCCGTTTTTGGGAGGTTTGCAGAATGCAAAAACTTTTTTCCCCTTTCGGAAAGCTCTTTACTTAGACTGATTGATGAGAATTAGATTGAACAAATGCTATGCCAGCAGAAACAAAGTCTTGGGTGCTGCAGATTGTCAGCTATTTCCTTCTTCAGCACATGGATAAATACACCTGGAAACATCTACCTACCAACCTACCTACTCTCTTTCTCCCTACCTATCTACTGTATTTCTCTCCCTCTCTCTCTCTATTTCTCTCTATCTATCCCTCTACCTACCAACCTACCTACTCTCTCTCCCACCCTACCTACTGTATTTCTCTATCTATCTCTATTTCTCTCTCCCCCTCTACCTACGAACCTACCTACTCTCTCTCTCCCTACCTATCTACTGTATTTCTCTCTCTCTTTCTATTTCTCTCTCTCTACCCCTCTCTCTACCTACCTACACACACTCTCTCTCCCTATCTACCTAATGTATCTCTCTCTCTCTTTCTCTCTCTCTCCCCCCCCTTTATCTACCTACCTACCTACCTAACTACTCTCTCCCTCTCCCTACCTACCTACTGTATTTCTCTCTCTTTCTCTCCCTCTCTATCCCTCTATCTACCTACCTACTTTTTTAAAAAAATGCCTCTTCAAAATCTTGGTGCGGCTTATACTCCGGTGTGTCTTATACTTCGAAAAATATGGTAACTTCCTGGGATTTTACTTGCAATTCATCCCCTCATTTGCTTGGATCCCCATGACTAATCTTTTAAAAACTAAAGGAGCAGACAACCTAAACCTAGCCAATCATTAAAGTGGTCAATGGAATGCAAAGCCGCATTTGAAAGGTCGCAATGCCCTGAGAATGAACTACTATCAAGTTAATGTCTCGGAGTTTTTCAAAACACCTTTGTGGCATATTATTGGTTATTGGGGGACTGGAAATTGGGTGGGGGTTGAAGAGGATAAAATAGCTTGATGCTTTGTGCTTTGTAGATTCCACCGACTTCTGTGCAATCACTTTCTCTCAGTATAAGTTTCCTTTTTAACTGCTACCATTTCAAGGGTCATGCTTTCCTGAGAAGATAGCTGAGGCAGGTCCGTACAACACTACTTTTCAAGTTCATAAACCTGTG